TGGAAGCTGTAATGTTCCTGTTGGGGGTGGCACTGTCCTTCTGGCCCAGGGGCTCGGCACCCCCATTCAACTCACAGCCTGGGAGCTCCAAGTGCAGGGTGCAGCCTCCGTGGCAGACAATGGGCATCATACTGCACCTCTAGAGGGAAGTCAAAGACCGCCTTCAGGCCATCGTCCAAATTACCTATAAATACCTTGTTTCCTGAGTCCCCTTCTTCCTGGATGGACTGGAATTTTTCCCCACTGAAGCTGTAAGCCACCTGGAAAGTCTTCACTACTTGGCACTGCCTGCGCAGCTAGTGCCGTGTGTCACCACATCCGTCACCCGCATATTGCACGTCAGTTTCACGTGGATCCGGGGATCTTACTGTGGTTGCTGGCTGTCCAGGCACTGACAATGCCGGTGCAGTGCAGGTGGACCAGCTCCGGGGCTCGGCGCTGCACACCCACAAAGCCCAAGTGCACGGACAAGGTGGAGATCTGCCAGTCGACGGTGGCATTGGTCTCCATGCCCACCGGCGTGGCACAGATGGCCTGGTAGTGGGTGCCTGTGTAACCTTGAGGACACTTGCAGGTGTACTGGGTGAAGAGTCTCAGCCGTGTGAATCATTGATCACCCAGTGAGGACTCATCATTGTGACAGGGGTTTGGGAAAGGACCTTTCTCAGTCTCGTTGCAACTGAGGCCCATGAAGCCTTCAGGGCAGAGGCAGTAGAAGGGGGGGAGGCTGTCCTGGCCCAAGAAGCAGGTCCCACTGTTCAGACACTCGCTGGAGTCACAGAAGTCCCCGGAGGCGGGGCGATGGAGGGGCAGAGCGCCGGGGGACGTGGGGTGGGGGGTGCAGCTGTGCACACCATGGGGCTCTCACTCCTGCCCCTGCCCCGTGACCTCTGCCACACTGCTAGTCAGGCACCTTCACTTCCTTCATTCGAAGCTTGTTTTCCCCCTTCCCAAGGGTTCCTGGCATTGAGGGGAGTTGCACTAGCCCAGAATGGTTCCAGAAGCCCCTGTCTGCCTTTTTACCGCAGTGGGCTAATAACTCACGTTTATAGCACGAGGAATGGTGTGCAGGGAACAAGCCAACATTGAGGGGTTCTGTGCTCTCCAGCTCTGGTTGTGGTTACACCCGGAGAGGTCTCCCTCCCTGCATCCCCTCACCTGCCTTCCTGCAGCAGCTCCAATGCCTCTCAGTGCTGGGGACTCAGCACAGCTTCCGTCTGCCCAGAAGGGTTTCTGGTCTCTGGGCTTGCAGCTTGCTCTCACTGTTAATTCTATTTATATCACTGTTAATTCTATTGTATACCTGGCCACACTTTAAATGTTAATTGAGATAACTTAAGGCAGATTTATTTATTTATTTTAAAGATTTTTTTTTTTTTTTTAGAGGGGAAGAGAGGGAGAAAGAGAGGGAAACATCAATGTGTGGTTGCCTCTCTCACGCCCCCTACTGGGGACCTTGTCAGCAACCCAGGCGTGTGCCCTGACTGGGAATTGAAGTGGTGACCCTTTGGCCTGCTGCCCGCACTCAATCCACTGAGCTACAGCAGCCAGGGTGCAAGAACAGGTTTAATAAAATGATGGTAAGGTAGAAATAACTAGAGAATCTAGAATAGGGAAAATGAAAATGCTAGTTAGGACCAGCTGGGTTGGAGACGGGAAACACACCTGTGGTGAGCGTCCACATAGTTGATACAGTTGAGCTGCAAATTTAGCTCTGTAAGTGGTTGGGCCATCAGAGGGGAGACAAATAGTTACACAGTTGTCATCAGAGAGGAAGGGACATTCTAATTCTGACTTCTGAAAGAAGTTGACAGGTGGTTTCATACACTCAGAACCTGGTACTGAGTGACATGCATAAGGTTCCCACGGGAAGTTAGTTAGTAATGGGTTTCACGTGACTGCTGGACCCCAGATCCTCCGAATAACGTTTCACCCATTTCTTCTCCCAGCTAGGCTCTTAATAGGCGTGGATAACAGGCAGTATCGAATTTAGGGTCAGGGCTTGGGTTTTACAAGCTGTTTGTTTCCACTGTGCCATTTCTAAGGACAGTGATGATCTTTGTTTCCTTTACAATGTCTGCCACCTAGTGATTGCTCAAGTATTTATTGACGGAACCGTTTACAAAGCCAGATTCTGAGGGTGTTTTGGGATTAGTGTTTGAAGCGTTGTCTTGTATCAACTATGAAGAAAATAATGGAATTCCACCTTGACTAGGGTTTCTCAAAAATGGCACTATTGATATTTGGGGCAAAACCATTCTTTGTTCTGGGAGATTTTATTATAGGATGATTATTGGCAGTCTCTCTGGCATCTACCCACTAGATGCCATTAGAATCCGCAGCTGTGACAACTAAAAACGTCTCCAGATGTTGCCAAAGGTGCTCTGGGGGGTGAAAATGACCCCCAGTTGGGAACAACAGTTGACCTCTAGGCTGTGGATTCACAGGAGCTGGGAATTCCGGGGTCCAGAACGGCTTCAGAATTGCTTCTCTGTATTTCGACTTGTTCAGTTAAACAAAAGTGGAACTCAGAATGCTGCCCATTGGAAGTGCTGCCCAACAGAATGTAGGGGGCAGAAATTAAGTCAATTGGTTGACTTTGTTTTTAGTTAAAGACTATGATTAAAAGTTTGACCTAAAGAAAATTAGGTGTGGCTCAGCAATTGAATAAACGTTACTGAAGGAATCCCAGCTTTTGGAGTTTTTTGAAGATGAAACTGTTCTACTTGGTCCATTTTCTGTCATGTAAGGGGCATAGTACAATATGAAATTATTGCTGTTTGAAGTGTACGTTTAAGATAATCTCAATGAAGAACTGATTGGTCTTAACAATAGCTTAGTTTTACTAATTTATAAGCAAAATGACTACACCATGTATATGTATATGTATATGAATATATATGTATATATATTCTCACACACATATTATAAATAACTACATTTTATATAGGTATGTAAAATGCATATACATATATGTGAAATGTGTATATGTATGTGTGTATATATACATGTGTATATATATATATATATGTGTGTGTGTGTGTGTATATATATGTATAAATGTAGTTACTTAATATTCCTTGCCTCTTGGAGCTCTTTTTAGCCTCTGTAGATGTGTGGTTTGATGATGTGACGTGTTGATGTTGGGTATTTACATTTTAAATCTATGAGGGTAGGTGATACTGTACTTTTGAGAAGAATGGCCTTTGAATGGCTCTCTTAGTTGGTAAACAGAATGTGACCCGTCTAATGACAGTGGAGCTTTGGAACACTGCAGAGACAACCGTTCTCATGGTTCCTGGCCGCGACTTTATTGCTACATGCCCCTCTTCCCCTCCTGCTCCTTTTGAATGGGAGTTGTGTTACATTGTTACATTTTTTTCTATCCCTTTCTCATATATTGGGTGTTTGGGGAGACAAACAACTTGTTGGATTGGCCAAAAAGTAACATTTGTTTTTTTCTGTAAGATGGCACTAGCGGCACTTAGTCGCCTTTAACTTTATTCAAAACTATTTTGTTAGATTGCATTGGTACAGCTGTGATCAATGTGCATTTTTAAAAAACCCATCCAATGGGTGAATGTTTGTGCAGCCATTTTAATGTGGACATGGAAGAAAATATGCAACATTTTTGGCATCTTATGCTTTGTTGTTTCAAGAAAGGTAACAATGCAACTGAAAGGCAAGAAAAGATTTGTGCAGTGTCTGGAGAAGGTGCTGTCACTGATCGAATGTGTCAAAAATAGCTTGTGAAGTCTCATGCTGGAGTTTTCTCACTGGATGCTGTTGCACAGTCAGATGGATTAATTGAAGTTGCTAGTGAGCACATTGAGACACTAATTGAGAGCAATCAACATTGTACCACGTGGGAGACAGGCATACTCAAAACATCCAAATCAATAGAGCTGTTGGTGAAAATGAAAAATATGCCTTTTTAGCTTATGGAAAAAACCACCGGACTTTTTGGCCAACCCAGTATTTCCTTAGTTGTAGGTCTCCACGTTAAGAGGAATTGTCCCTGAGAGTTCTCACCCCCATGCAGACCTGGTGCACACACCAAGGTCCTGGACTTTGAGCCAGCAATACAGTGAGATGAGGTTTTGGGAGAGGGACGTACATTATTGTGGCCTGAATGGCAAAAGAAGCAAGTGGCAGTGAAAAAAGTCTGTCCTTTCAGTAACAATTAGGAGTACACTATCAGAAAAACAAGAGCGAAGGGGATGTGGGCTAGTGGAGATGGTTTGGGAGGCCCAAAGAAAAATAAAGCAGGAAGACGGACTCCACAGTGCCTGGGAGAGTGCACACTCGTATCTGTAGCCTTGTAACACTGATCATACTGATCAGAGGCCATAGATGGCTGGGTCCATGAGCACACTGGTGGTGAAATGAGGAAGGCAGTTTATTATTGTGGGGAGGGTTTAATGTTTGAGGTAGGACAGACTTGGTTTTAAATTTCTGTTCTGCCACTTACCTTGGGCACCAGTTCACACCAGTTGGATGGTCTCTTCCAGATGTGTTTTGCTTTTGTGTATTATTTTGGGTTTATGTCAGTGTATTTGTTGGAACCCTTCAATTATGAGTGATTAGCTCTACTGGGACAGGCAGTTGGCCTTGAATTATGTCTGAGGGACCTTCTGACCTTCAAGGTCTGAAGCCTACTTAGTAATAACCAATGTTTCAACCCTAGTGACCAATAATGACAAATGAAAATGGCCCTTTGGCTACTAAGTCCTGTTCCCAGACCAAAGCAGTTTATAATCATTTGTTTTTATGACAAAATGAAGTAGAAAACAAAAGATTGGCTCTGATTATTTTGCATAATAGAAACTGCATTCTTAGCAACTGACTCAGCATCTATGCCTGCATCTCTGACTCATTCACCAGGTTCAAGTACTCCGGAAAAGCTGATGCATTTGCATTCTGCTTCTGGCCCCCAAACGCGATGTCCAGGTGTAGCTACATGAAGAAGGAAGCCATTGTGGGTGAGTGTCCAATCCGGACGTCTTGTAAAACGGGTGAAGTCCAGCCCTTTTAGGAAAATCCTAATTTATCCTGTTTGGGAGTACATCCCAGATCCTGGTCCTTAGGTCTTGGGCTGAAAAGAAGACATTTAACATCTACTGTACATCAGATACAGTGGAATGACATCTGCCGGCTCATTCCACATTATCTTATTTAACCCCTGAGAAATACCTTGTATAATCTGCATTTCAGTTCCTCAGATGCCCAAGGTTTTGTTTGTGTTTTTCTTTGTTTTTTAACTTTCTCAGCTCTTGTGTGTCACATTCCCTCTACGTGGAATGGTCTTCCTCCCCCTTTCAGCCCAGCGAACACCCATGAGCTCCATCTTGGATGTTTCTACTTCAGGGAAGCCTTCCTTGCCCCCTGGGTTTGTTTCCCTTTTACACACTCATCACACACTTAATCTCAGTAAGCACAGCAATGATGTGACTGGTCGTTTAATGTGTCATTCATGCCGAAGTACACTTTAGCTGCATGCAATGGGGACTGTGTCTGTGTTATTTTTCTGTGTTATTTGTAGTACCAGGTAGAGCCCCTTATGTATAGCTACTCAATAAATGTTGCCTGATTATGGGGAATAACCATGAACATCAGGACCTGAATGCCTGTTATTCAACGGCAAACCCTTCCTTTTTGAAGTTATACCGCAACTGAACCACACGAGAAGTGTTTCTCAATAAAATTACCTAAGAGGTTCTTCCTCAACTCTATTTCAGTTTTAAATTGGCAACCTATCTATAAAAGTTATTCATTAATCTTAGATGCTGGCTAGGGTGTGGTTTTGAGACAAGGAACTGAAAGTTTTCAGCGAAGTTCCCAGTTCTGTGCGAGTGTGCTCTTCAGAGCAGCCCCGCGTATCCGAGCATCTGTTTTTGAAGGGAGGTGGTTGGGAAGGCTCTAGGATCTTATGTCCCATTAGGGAAACTGATGTCTGTGCTGGTTTACAGTGTCTCTGACTTCCTGCTGAGCTCCAAATCGCTTGTTGGCGGAAAAGCAAAACTTGGCAGCAAATGTCTAAAATGAAGACCTCCCAGACTTTTGAGGAGCAGACGGAGTGCATTGTGAACTTTCTTCTCGAAGATTTCTTAGGCATACCTTCACAGGCTGCTGCCACCCGGAGCCTGTGTGGTGTGGATGAAGTGGATTCAGGTAAGGCTCCTGGCTGAGGTGGCCATGACAGGTTGATAGGCCAATCTGAGTATAAGCTCTAATATCCATTGACGTTTCAAAAGGAAAACTTGGGAAGCGTTCAGCAATACCTGGAGTCTTTACGGGAGGGAAAGAAGCTCTCCGTGAAGGGAGACTTCTGACCGTTGGCTTTGACAGAACATCGAAGATGTTCTCGGCAGGGAGGGATGCCAAAATTGTTTACGTACCTATAGCACTTCCTCCAGTGCCCACATTCCTGGAACTTGCCTTTCCTTCAAACTTTGTGACAATTGGGACTGTGTTCCCTCTGTTTTAGGAGAGGCTTGCACCTTGGACGTGGCTATCATTGCTGGTCGCCTTCGGATGTTGGGGGACCAGTTCAACGAAGAACTGGAAACTTCTGTCAGAAGCATCATGAAAGAAACTGCTTGGGGACAGGTCAAGTTTCTACTACTTTCTATTTACTGCTTTTTGTGTCTAACTATTTCAGATACCCTTTTCTTACTAATCCTATAGGAGTATGACCTAAAATGTTCTGTGACAGATTTGAGGACTTACTTTTACTCGAGAAGATGTGGCAGGAATTCTCCAATCGCCACTTCCTTAGGGCAGGACCTTAGTGGCACTGAAGTGGAAAGCGTCTGGTGCAGGCTGGACACCGTTCACGTTCCTTTATTTGTTTTTTGTCCAAGCTGTGCTTGGTGGCACAGGCACCTGTATCAATACCTATTCTTCTGGACGCGGGCATCTCTCCCCACCCAAAGTTCAGCAGTGACATTATATACAGGAAAGACAGGCAGTTGACAAGTTCGATGCAATGAGGGGTGAGGTACGGGAGCCCACTAGGTCACATCTGGCCCTCCAACAGAATGCTGGTTACTAGCGATAGCACTGGGACTCTGTATTGGCTATGAAGACTGCAGACGATGTTCTAGAAGACATTACTCATTAATATCAATAATGGTAGTTAATAGGAATTTTTCCCTTACCGTGTGCCAGGAGATCTTCTAAATGCTTTACAGTTATTTTCTGATTGGACCTCTGCTCTACTCGGTGAGGCACAAGAGAAACTGTCACCCACAACACAACCCCTCCCTGTCTACAGATAACACTGCGAGAGCAAACGTCTAGCCCATTTTGCTCACTGCTGTGGTCACACAACATGCAACAGTGCCCAACACCTAATAGGCTCTCAGTGCGTATTTCCTGATTTGATATGCATTTAAGCAGGGAAGGAAATTGAGAACGAGGGAAATGAGTGATTAGGTTACATGGTATTTTTTTCTTTTTTCTTTTATTTTTTTAATGTATTTTTCCATTACAGTTTACACTCAGCATTATTTTGTAATAGTTTCAGGTGTATAGCAGAGTGGTTAGAAAATCATATATTTTCCAAAATGTTCCCTCTCTCCTCACCACCCCCCTGGAATTTCTAGTACCCACCTGGCACTGTACACAGTTATTACAATGTTATTGACCACATTTTCTATGCTGTACTTTACATCCCCACACAGCAAGTATGGGCATTAGGGTCTGGACCCAGACTGATCCCAGAACCATTATGCTGTATGCTTCCTGCTTAACACAGCTTGGGTGGTGTGTCTACTGAACACTCTGGCAGAACTGGCTTTATTACACCTGCCTGCTTACATGGACGCTTTTCCTAGGTAGCTGAGAGCTGAATCTACTTTTCATTTTTTTTTATTATAAATTTTTCTTGAAACAGCCTCAAACTCACAGAAAACTCACAGAAAAGCTGCATATATTGTACAAAGAATTTCCCACTAGAATCATTTGGTAGTAAGTAGCGAACATGATATTTCATCACCCCCATAATCCTGTTATATTTCCTTGAAGCAAGGACATTCTATTACGTAACCACAATCTAACCATCAGAACCAGGAAATTAATTGTCGAGGATACATTTTCATCCCATCCTAAGATCCCATTCACTGTTGCCAATTGTTTCAATGATGTCATTTACAGCAAAAAGATACAGCGGGCCTGTGAACCAGAGTGTCGAGGTTCGATTCCCAGTCAGGGCACATGCCTGGGTTGCAGGCCAGTTGCCAGCACGGGACACATGAGAGGCAACCATACATTGATATTTCTCTCCCTCTCTCCTTCCCCTCTAAAGATAAGTAAATTAAAAAATAATAATAAAAAAAAAGATACAGGCCAGAATTAGATGTTGCAGTAAGTTATGCCCTTTGAATCTCTAATCTGGAGTAATTCCTGAGTCTTTCATTGACTTTTATGGCTGCGATGCTTGAAGATTATATGGCTCAGTTGTTCTTTAGAGCGCCCCTTAGTGGGTGTGTTTGGTACTTTCTCGTAAGTAGATTCGGGAGATACAGCTTTGGTGGGAAAATCACAGACGTGCTGCTGTGTCGTCCTCACTCCATCAGCTGGCACTCGTTTCAGTTTGTCCCATTGCACCTGCTCTTTTCACTTCTGTGATTACGTGTTTAGTAGGGAGGGACTTTGACACCGTGGAAATATCCCATAGCCCATCACAATCTCAATCTATTCATTTATTTTATACAGCAACATAGACTCATGAATTCCTACCTTATTCAGTGGGTTATAATGTTATTATCATTATTTTTCTTAAAGACTTTATTTATTTTTAGACAGAGGGGAAGGGAGGGAGAAAGAGAGGGAGAGAATCATCAATGTGTGGTTGCCTCTCACGTGCCCCCTACTGGGAACTTTGGCCTGTACCCGAGATATGTGCCCTGACTGGGAATCAAACCGGCGACCCTTTGATTCTCAGGCCAGCACCCAATCCACTGAGCCACACCAGCCAGGGCTTCTATCATTATTTATTTGAATGCTCACCTCCCCCCAGCTTTGGCCAGTGGGAGTTCTTTCGCTCTGAACTGTGCCTTTTTGGCATGTCCCTGTCATTCTGAGTACTTCCTTAATTTCTAACGGGAGACCTGTCTTTACAGTCCCAATCCGGAAATCAGCTGTCGTCCGGGAGGTCTGGTTTCTTTTCAAGGGAAACCGTTTCTGGGTGTGGGGACCTAGGTCCTCTTACGTGGACACCCTTCTCAGCTTGTCCGGGCTCTAGCGCCCGCTCGGACTGCCGTGGGTCGCCCCGACAGCACCCTGCGATTAGATCTGGCTCGGCCCTCCCTAACGGCTTTTGAACCAGATTTTTTTGGAAGGACAAAGGAAAAGCAAATCTTTTTTTTTTTTTAAACTTTAGAGATTCCCAGACTTCAGTCATTCGAGCAATATCTGCAGTTTGATCAGTTGTATTATCATGTACTTCATAGTTTTCTCTCCAGTCATTTTGTTTCTCTTTCAATCATTTGGTGCATCAGAGGCAATACTTTCTGAAATCATGGGTCTACTTCTGTTTTTTCTCACAGCTATTACAGTCAATACAAAACTAAAATGAGAAAAGTCCATTCGTTTACTCCCTAGGATGACCTAGCTATGACCAGTGGCACGCTGGCCGCTCTCTGGGAAACACTTGCTTTCCTGGGTTCCCGCACCTGCGGCCTCCTGCACTTTCCAGTGATACTCCGTTGATCCTGTCCTGTGTCTCTCCCCAGGTAGAAGCTGTCCTTAAGGACACAGTAAACTCTCTCAGCGAGGCCTGGTGTGCTCAGGATCCTACCTTAGCTTATGGGAGAGCCTGTTTGGCGGTGTCAGTGAAACTCTTTGAATGTGTGGCCCGCCTGGCTCCTGAAATGGCAAGACAGATGGTGAGACCCATAACAAGTATGATCAATGGGAATGGCACCATCCGAGAGTTCGTCCAGAGCCAGGGAGGTTGGGTAAGTATGTCGGGGCCCCTGGCTTTGCTAAGCATTTGCTAGTAATGCCTGGGAATAGTACCTGGGACTCCAATTCATGGTTCTTCCTGTAAGTTGGAAACCAAGCAGGAAAACATGCCTCCCGACTTTGCTAAAAATGCCAGGATGGGTTTTTTTTTGCCATGAGCATGCAGAAGCTCAGCCTGTGGACATTGGACTCCAGAGTCATGCCACCTAACATACCGACTGCTAAGTATATTATAAAGCAAATTTCCAAGCCCTACACATCTGTAAAGTGTATTTGTGGTTGAGTTCTAGTCTCAGACTGGCTTCACCCTGTTACCTGGCAGATTCCTGGGTTTGCTTTGCCTAACATCTTCAGGTGTGTGTTGAGGCAGTTCAGAATCATCTCAGTATTTGTCATCTAACAGAAAATAATTAGTGTTGTCTGCTGTGGTGAGAACTATAGCAGGCGCTCTAAGCCCATGTCTTAGTCATCATCGGAGCCTCTGCTCTCATAGAGCACTCCCCTTCATCGCCACCGTCAGCAGAAACCCTAGTGGGAGCTGCGTTCCCTGTGCGTACATGTAGATCATCCCTGGTTTCCTTGGGAAGTTCCCGACGACCACCTCTTTGACCGCTGGATACTCATTGTCCTTCCCAGGAAAATGTGGAGAGCTGAAGAGGAGGCAGAACTGTTTCCCAGCCTGAACATCTCTTTCTCTTGGACTGATCTGGTGATTGATTTCTGGCAATTAAAACAGATAAACGACCAAATAAAAAAAAAAAACACTTACTGAACTTGGCTGTATAATTTATTTTTCTATCCATAAAGTCAGGAGCAGCTTCCAGAGGCCCACAGAGATTTTATGCTTTCCGTTTTTATGTGAGTGGTGATGAGGTTCTGTTGAAGCAAAGACCTCTACACACAAAGCAATGACTTGTTCATAGTGGAATTCCAGGCAACCCAGGGCAGGCCTCTGCTGGAGTCATTTGGGGAAAGAGAGAGCACACAGTAAACTATTCCTTCAGATTTAGCCCTGTTTTTGGTTAAGAATCTTATCTATTAATTTTGTAGTCAAAAGGATTTCAGGAAGGTTTTTGGTTGGGAAACCTTGTTACTTTATGTTGAAGATTTTTTTTTTAATTCATAACCTAAACTTCATGTTAATTTCACCTGAGCAGAATTATTTTATGCTTTCTCAAGGTTGGAAGTAAAAAAAATAGCAATTGTTCATCTGCTCTTCCATTAGAAAGGTCAGACAGAGAAAGACAAGTCAACTGTCTTTTTACCGCCACAGGGTGCAGGAAGTGCCGGGCCACATCTAGGACAACAGGGCCGTCTCACATACCACAGTGACTTTCAAAGTGTGGCCCGCATGTCACTTGTGGACCTTCCAAATTGCTGATGTTCAGGTCCCATCCCTAGAGATTCTGGTGCTGTAGCGGTGGGCTGGGGCCCAGGCTCCCACCTCTCTAACCAGTCTCCCTGGTGATTCTGATGTACGGCTGGCGTTTGAGAACCGTCGCTCTGCAGCTGGGGTTGGCAAGTTGTAGCCCGCAGGCCAATGCGGCCGCTGCTTCTTTTTTCCTTTTTTTTTGGTAAATAAAGTTTTATTGGAATGCAGCCACACTCACTCGTGCACACGTGACTGTTTTAGGACTGCTGTGCAGAGGTGAGTAGTTATGGCACACACCCTATGGCCCCTTAAAGCTTAAAATATTTACTCTCTGGCCCATTTAAATTTGCAGACCCCTTCTCTAAAGGTGAATGAACATTTCTCCTTGAGTCAATTAAACCCCGTTGCGATCCTGATGATTCCGGGCAAACACAGTTGTAGAGAAGGTAACACTTTTTTTCAGAATTTAGTCTGAGGGGGTTTGCACAGTCCGTGTTTCCTGGCTTGTCCAGAGAGGGTGTTCGTTCCCCAGGCTCTACCCCGAGTGATTGGAGGTCCCGGGAAGCCAGGCATTTGGTTTGTATGGTCTGTGTTTCTCATGGTAGTTTTTAATAATCTCCCAGGTTAGTAAGCAGTGATCAAGTAGCCACACCATCCAAAACCCCCAAACCAGATCACCTACCTCCACTCAGGAAGGAAAACATTGTTCTATTTTAAAGAGGTGTCAATGTCTTAGGCTAAAGTTTACAGAGCTAACCACATCCCCTCCCTTCAGCCAGCCAGCTAGCTACCTGGCTCCCCTAAATGCATAAAGATAAAGACACGGTGCTGCTAATTATTTTGACCTTTCTTTTTAAAATTATATGTTACCGGTTATGCTATTATAGTTGTGCTGATTTTTTCCCCTTTGCCCACCTCCACCCAGTGCCCCCTACTCCCTCAGGCAATCCCTCCATCATTGTTCTGGTCCATGGGTCACTTGTATAAATTTTTTGGCTACTCCATTCCCTGCACTGTACTTTACTCCCCTGTGGCTGTTCTGTAACTACCTATTTGTACTTCTTAATCCCCTCACCTCTTTACCCATTCTCCCCTTCCATCTGGCAACCTTCTGGTACTAACTTCTCTTGCTTTTAAGAGTCTCTCTTTATCTTTAACCTTTGGCCTTTTAATTATGATGTGTCTTGGAGTGGGCCTCTTTATAGCCATCATAATTGGGACTCTGTGCTTCCTGGACTTGCATGTTTATTTCCTTCATCAAATTAAGGAAGTTTTCTGTCACTGTTTTTTTGGATAATTTTCCAAATTCTTGCTCTTTCTCTTCTCCTTCTGGCACCCCTCTGAGGTGAGTATCAGACCTCTTAAGGTTGTCTCAGAGGCTATTTTTTTCTATCCTCATTTTTTTGTATTCTCTTTTCTTGTTGTTCTGCATGGTTGTTTTTTGCTTCCTTATGTTCCAAATCACTGGTTTGGTTCTTGGCTTCATCCATTCTACTGTTGTTTCCCTGTACATTATTCTTTATTTCAATTAGCGTATCCTTCGTTTCTGACTGGGTCTTTTTTATGCTGCTGAGGTCCTCACCAAGTTCCTTGAGTATCCTTATAACCAGTGCTTTGACCTCTGCCTCTGATAGATTGCTTATCTCTATTTTCTTAAGCTCTTTTACTGGAATTTTGACCTGTTCTTTCATTTTGGCCATGTTTCTTTGTCTCCTCATTTTGGCAGCCTCCCTGTGTTTGGTTCTGTGTATTAGGTAGAACTGCTTTGACTCCATGTCTTGAGTGTGTGGTTTAATGTAGTAGGTGTCCTGTAGGGTCCAGTGGCTCAGCCTCCCCCAATCACCCAAGCTGGGTACTTAAGGTGTGCCCTTTGTGTGGGCTGAGTACACCCTCCTCTTGTAGTTGAGGCTTGGATGCTGTTGGCAGATCAAGGGGAGGGGTTTACCCAGGCCAGTCAGCTTCAAGGACTGGCTCTGACCACTGACCACCAACTTCTGCCCTCTGTGGAGGATCAGCTGTACAGGGGCAGGTTGGTGGTACTCCAGTGTGGTCTGTAGTTGTCTGCTTCTTAGGGTTTCCCAGGAGAAAGTGGTCCTGGCCTTTCCCAGGTGTTGCAGGCCAAGGTCAGCCCCTACCTGTGTTTTTCCTGGGGGCCACATTGCTGAGCTGTAAAGTAGTCTGAGATGGCTGCTACTTGTGCTGGGCTTGGAGATTCTCAGGTGAGGCCAAACTGAATGTAATCTGGCCGCTGCTGGGGCTCACTGAAGCCGGTTGTTGCTTGATTTAGGAGCCAAGACCAGCCATTCTTACAGAAAAACAGCTTGGGTGGGCCTGTAACTTGGGTGAGGTACAGCCTCTGGGGATCTCCGAGTTGGGTCACACAGTGGTAGCCGGGTTGATGGAGTCTCAGATATGGCACCAGTCTACCGGCTCTGTGGGGGAAGGTTTAGCCAAGGGCCTATGGCCCCTGCTCACCCAATGCCAGACACTCCAGTCTCTCCCTGCACACCACACATGACTTTCAGGCTTCTACCCTGGTGCTGGAGCTCAGAGGGAGTGAGTCTGAGTAGGTGAGTCCGTGTGTGGGTTCTTTAAGAGGGACCGCTTAGGACTCCAGCATTTTTTTTTCCACTGACTCAATCCCTGCTGGCTTTTACAGCCAGAATGTGTGGGGACTTATCTTCCTGGCACTGGAACCCTGGGCTGGGGGGCTTGGTTTGGCGCTGGGACTCCTTGCTCCCAAGATATCCCTTTTGATTTTTTTCCCACATGGGTGTGGGGCCAGCAGTCTCTGCTTCTGCACCCCTCTTACCAGTCTGGATGGGTGTGGCTTCTTCAATTCTGTAATTGTCAGACTTCCATTCACCTCGATTTCTGATGCTCCTGGGTGATGGTTGTTCTATATTTTAGTTGTAATTTTGATGAGCTTGTGCCATGTCTGCCTACACGGCCATCTGAACTAGAAGTTTTGACTTTTTACATGTTAGGCTCTTTCCTCTGTTACCGTATAACTTCCAATAGGTTAGCAAGCCAGAAATGGGATTTCATATTTCTCTTTAGTAGAAATTACCTTTCTTTCTACCGATTGAAGATACTTCATGTATTCCTTCGTCCCTTACATTACTATAAACTCAAAATGGTTAGTTGTGTGGTATTTGACCTCATAGGCAATGTCACTGTTTTCACTTTGACTAATGCTTTTCTGTTCATCATATAAAATTCTGTCTATGCATTCGAACCAGTTCTCACCAAGTGCAATCTCAGTTGATATATTGGGTTGGCCAAAAAGTCCGTTATGTTTTTTCCTTAAAATAAAAGATGTATTTTTCATTTTCACCAATAACTTTATTGAGTTCGATATTTTGAGTATGTCTGCTATCTCCTGCTATAGGCTTCTGATGGGTAGAGGCCAGGGCTGCTGCTAAACTGCTTCCAATGCATAGCACAGCTCCACAGCAAAAAATTATTTGGCCAAAATTTCAACAGTACAAAAAAACTTTGCAAACCATTTTTGACACATTTGATCAGTCACAGCACCTTCTCCATACACTACACAAGATCTTTTTTTGCGTTTCTGTTGCATTTTTACCTTTCTGGAGATAATAAAGCATAATATGCCAAAAATGTTGCAGATCTTCTACTTTCAGTATTAAAATAGCTGCACAAAAATTCACCAATTTTGATAACTTTTTAAAAGGTTGATATGACAGATGTCACAGTACAATCCAAAAAAAAAAAAAAGGTTTGGACTGAAGTTGAAAACAACTGAGCACTGCTAGAGCCATCTTATGGAAAAACTCAATGAATATTTTGACCAACCCAATATAAGCCTATGTCTCAAAATGCAGAATATATATTGAAAAAGTTCATTGTAAACACAATGGCTGCATATTGAATCTTATTTCCGCTATCATTTCATTAGGAAATAAACTTACAATGTTCCACATAAGTGGGAATTTCATCCCGAAGGACAGAAATCATGTGGAGACGTGTGGGAACCTCAAGTTCCATTTAGAAATGAAGACGGTGGTTTGTGGCCCCGGGAGATCCTGCAGGCTGAGGTGCTTGTGTGAGGAAGGCGGTGGGCCTTTCTGCCTCAGCTTGTGACCCCTGTTGTTCTACGAACCCCTGTCACAGAGGAACCCCTGTCACAGAGGAACCCCTGTCACAGAGGAACCCCTGTCACAGAGGAACGGAAGAGCTGGGGGGGGTCTCGCCCCACGGGCTGCAATGAGATTGTGATTTTCACATTCCCATCCTTTCTCATTTTCCCACTGTTCTGTAATGCAGTCTGTTCAGTTCCCTTTTTTTCCCTCTCTGAAAAATGGGAAATGTGTGCTTACTGATCTGCTGAGCCCTTTGAAAGGGAAAGTTTTTTTTGAGGTTGTTTT